GGTATTTACACATGTCTGTCCTATTTATTTCACTTAAGAGGATGGCCTCAATATGCAACCATTTAGCTATAAATGTCTCTAGTTTCTTGTTCTTTATGGCTGAGTAGTACTCTATTTTATTTAAAAAACTGCATCTTCTTTATCCAGTTTCCAGTTGATGGCCCATAATATTGTTCTTAGTGGGAACACAGTTTGGAACAAGTCATTGGGAAATCTATATGTTACTATGTACTCAAAACTTTTCAAAATCCTCTTTGAACCTTAATTCATTCTACTTTTGGGAATCTCATAGCCTGAGACACCACCTGTCAAACCAACATACATAATATTCATTGTAAAAGTAATTATTACCAAGAAAAATTTCAAGGGAACTTAAATTTTTAGAAATAAGGAAATAGCTTAATACCACACATTAAATTGTGTATTTTTCAAGAATTTTAATGATCCAAGAAAATGCTTCAACTCACACAATATGGAGCTAAGTGAAAAAGACGACAAAACTTCACTCAGACAGATTGGTCCCAATTACATGTGACTTCAGCTGTGCAGTGTTAACACCAGAAAGAGGGAAAATGCACCAAAACCTTACCTGGTTTTTCTGAGTGGGAGGTGATTTTTGTTTTCTTCTTTATGCTTTTTGCATTTTCCAAGTTTTCTACAACAAACAGGAATTACTTTTGTAATTTTTTAAATGATGTTCATGCCTCTCAATCTAGTAATTTCACCTCTAGAAATACATCCTAAAGAAATAATCCTAAATGTAGAAAAAGTTTTAGGCAGAGCTTTGGTGATATTTATAATGGAAAATATCAGAAAATTGGGGAAAGATAAAAATAAATCATGGCATATGCGCTTTTGTGGTTCTTTATTTGTTTGTTAGTACTGGGGATCGAACTCAGGACCTTGCACTTGCCAGGCAGACATGGCACCACTGAGCTACATCCCCGGGGCCAGCGTATGCACTTTTTATTTTGGTACCAGGGATCGAACTTGGGTCCTTGTGCTTGTGCAGCAGGTGGCGAAACCATTGAGCTACATCCCCGGGGCCAGTGTGTGCACTTTTTAAACCATTAGGCAGCCATTAAACTCAAGTTCAGAAAGAGTTTATCATAACATGATAATTATATATAGAATTAAATGAAAATATCAATATAAAAGTTTCATATATTATATAGATAGATAATAATCAAAAGTACACAAAAAAAGAATTGAGATGTGTTTGTTACATGTACCATATCCCCATAAGGAATGTAATGCAAACATGTACTAATAAAACATAAAAACTGAAAAAAAAAAGATTTATATGAAATACACCACAAGATTAACACATGGTATATTTGAGTGGTAAAACTCGACTTTAGGGCCGGGGATGTAGCTCAGTGGTTCCGGCGCCTGCCTCGCAAGCAGAAGGTCCCAAGTTTGATCCCCGGTACCAAAAAAAAAAACAACTTGACTTTATTTTCCTTTTCTCTGTTTATTACATTTTCTGCAATGACTATCGGTGACTTTCAGAAAATGTTTCCCAAATATCTGACAGCTGATTTAACCTATGAGTAGTGAGAATTGTCAGTGGTTATTTTCTTTTTTAGTCTCCATTTCCAAATCTCCTAAATAGCATTTATTAATTTCTATTATTTAAAGAAGTTACACATTTTTATCACCTAAAATTAAGTTTATCTTTATGAAAGAGCAATGAGTAAATAAAGGTCATTTTCTTTTCCTACTGCAAGGACTGCTCTGTGCGGGGAGCTGCAGGCCCTGGGTTCTGTCTGAGCTGTCTTTCAGGCAATCACAGGCTGGCTGCCTAAGGCCTCTGCTGGGGAGAACTGCCCAGGTCTTCATCTCTGCAAGCCGAGCCAGCTTCCCAACTGTCCTTCCTTTGTGCATTTGTAGACTTCGTATATGGACTCAGATATGGCTCTTGCCTGTTAGCCCATGGGGCGTGCCCGGGGATTTAGCTCAGTGGTTTCACCACCTGCTGCGCAAGCACAAGGACCTGAGTTTGATCCCCGGTACCCCCCAAAAAAGCCCATGGGATCTTCTTATCTGTCTTCAGCCTCAAAGGAGAAAATTGGGGTTCCTGGTCCTTCCACCCCTGGGGAGGCAGGCAGCCTGCACCAGTGGGACAGGGCTAACCTGTAACACTGCACCTAGCTCTCTGTCATCTGCCTGTCACACACTACATGTGACTCACAGTACAAGGAGTCAAATTGAGGTCTTTGTCACGGTGGGCCGCCCTACAGAACAAATTCAGATAGAAAAATTAGTTTCATGCAATTGGCCAGCAGTGCATTAGTTTCCTAGGACTGCCATAATAAACTGTCACAACCCATATGGCTTAAAATAACAGAAGTTTATTCTCTCACAGTTTTAGAGATTAGAAATTCAAAATAAAGGTGTTAGGAGGGCCATGGTCTTTCTGGGGACTCTAAGGGAGGATCCTCTGAAGCCTGCCTCCCTTCTGATGGTTGTGGTGTCCTGGGCTTGCAGCTGCTTCACTCCAGTATCTGCCTCTGACTCACATGTTCTCCCTGTGTGTGTCATTGTGTCCCTATATGGCCTTCTTGTAAGGACACTAGTCAATGAATTTAGGATCTCCCCCAATCTAGCATGACCTCATTGTAAATTCATGCTATCTGCAAAGACCATATTTCCTTTTTTTTAAAAAATTGTCTTAGTGTATGTTTGCAGTACATGATTACCTTCATCACAGGGAGTTGGTACATGTACATAATCTATCTTAATTCTTTTTACATCCCCTTCCTATTTCCAAATAAGGACACCTTTGCAAGTACCAGAAGTTGGGACTTCAAACCTGTCTTTTAGGGGTGATACAATTTAACCAACAACAAGCACCATGCTGAGAATAATATAGAAACAAACAATAGTTGGTTTAGACTTGAAGTTACAGTACAGGAATTTTTTTTTTGGTACCGGGGATCGAATTCGGGTCCTTGAGCTTGCACAGCAGGCAGAGAAACCACTGAGCTAAATCCCCAGCCCCTCAGTACAGGAATTTTTATTTTGCCCCTTCTGGGATGATATAGATAACAGCTAAGGTGCTTGTGAAAGTTGAATTTATTCTCTCGGGGCACAATGTAAGCTTAGTGTAACCAGCAGTGGCTCGCTTCATCAACTGTCAGCAGCCCACCACCTCTGGGAGAAAGAGGCCTGCCTGAGTGTGTGACCTGCACTCAGGAGTGTGTCACAATTCGCATCCTGGGAGGCTGTGACTCACCTGATCTGCTCGATGCCTTGATGCCTTTGCAGTTCCGGGAGATGCCTACACCGATTATGTCGCCACCAGGTGGTACCGAGCTCCTGAGCTTCTCGTGGGAGACACACAGTATGGTTCTTCGGTCGACATCTGGGCTGCTGGCTGTGTTTTTGCTGAACTCCTGACAGGCCAGCCACTCTGGCCTGGAAAATCAGATGTGGACCAGCTTTATCTGATAATCAGAACACTGGGTATGAATTGCATTTTATGGCTCACAGAGTTGCTGACGTGTTATAGTAGTAATATGTGACTGTAACAAAAACAAGAGCTTCATTGCCTCCCCAAAGTTCTACTCAGGATGGTGGTTCTGGGAACTAGGTTCTGGGTTCTGGGTTGTAACCAAAGCCCAATCCTTTCTCAGCATGTAGAGCTGCAATTCTTGTTAGCAAGTTTTCAGATCCCATTCCAAGAAAAGTCATTTGCCATGGAATGAACTATGTATTTACCTTCATTGAGATATGAGTCAGCTGCCTAGACCTGATATCTGAGATACTTGACCACATGCAGTTTCTGTGCACTACATGAGAGATTCCCCACTCACCCCAGAGCAGGGATCAGCAAACATTTGCTATCAAAGGCTAGATGATAAGTATTTAGAGTTTTGTAGGCAATATGGTCTCTAATGCAACTCCTCAGCTCTGCTCTTACAGTGCGAAAACAGCCATACACAATATGCCATTGAATGTTTATAGTTTTTGCATATTTGCACAGAATATAATTTTGACTTCTTTTAATCTACTTGAAAAGGCGAAAGCCATTCCCATGTCTCAGGCTGCACAAAAATAGGCACCAGACCAGATTTGACCTGAGGGCCTTAGTTTGCAAACCCCTGCTTCAGAGTCTGGGGTTTTTCCTCATCAAATTGGCCTCTAGAGTTTAAAATAATATTAACATACATCATTTGAATGGTACTCAAGAATTTACAAATGACTTTCACACACATTATCTTTTTCAGTGTTAAGAAAAACTTGAGGAAGTGATATCATTTATACTTTTTTTTTGGTACCAGGGATCGAACTTGGGACCTTGCGCTTGCAAGGCAGGCAGTAGCACCACTGAGCTAAATCCCCAGCCTCTGTTATATCATTTTTAATAGTGCCTGTTTTATAAATAAGGAAACTGAGGCTCTGGGAGCCTCCAGAACTGGCTTAAAGTTACACATCCAGTTAAGTGCAGAGTAGGAATGAGCTTGAGGGGTTTCTCTGATGAGCGTTCATCATGTGTCAGCTTCCTGAGTGGTTGCTGTCTGCTTGGAAGAGAACATAGCCTGAAGGTTAGCTATGGCTTCACTCCAGCAGCCGGAAACAATACTTCCTCGCAAAGGATGGATATGGATTGATTCTTCTGGACAGTTCCCCATTGTTTCACCTAGAAAATTCTGCTATCCCCTAAGTGTGTATTTTTTGTTTATTTCCTAAATGCATGAGACAGTTCACAGACCTGAATTTGAGTCCTGTGTCTATCATTTAATTTCCATGTGACCTTAGACAACCTTCTAAATCTGAGTCACATTTTCTTCACTGATAGCATGGAGATTAAAAAATAGCAGTATGTTGTGAGATTAAATGAGATAATATGTGTGAGGTCTTCAGCACCATTTTCTCACCTTGTCTTTTGATGGAAGCCAAATGGCTAACCAAACCATGTGTAGCAAAGAGCATCACATGGGAACGCTGGCCTTACCTAAGCACACATACTTTCGTAGGTGCCCATTCCTCCCACCGGCAAGGCACATGTCCTTCAGATCTGGGCCTTGGAAGCTAACCATTTGTACACTTTGTGACTTTCTGCCAAATTTATCATGAACTATGTGGTTTGTATTTTACAGGAAAACTAATCCCAAGACATCAGTCTATCTTTAAAAGTAACCAGTTTTTCCATGGCATCAGTATACCTGAACCTGAAGACATGGTAAACTCCTCTGCTTTGGGCATTTTATTATTGTGTTGCTGCTTTCTTTAAAGAAGTAGTAGTTTCTTTTTAATATTTGTGTTTTTGACTTCTATTTTCCATATGAAAGACTAACTAAGATCAAAGAAACTGTATTAAAATGCATAAGACAAGCACCATGGGATGCTCCTATAGTGCCAGCTACTGTCCAGCAGGCTGAGGACAGGTTCACTTGAGCCAAGGAGTTTAAGACCAACCTGGGAAACAGTGAGAAAAATAATTCAAAAAGTCAGCCAGAAACTGCTTTAAAAGTTTGCCTGTCCTATCTATTCAAAGATTAATGTTAAATTTAAATTGAAAGTACAAAGTCAGATGTGGTGGCACACGCCTGTAATCCCAGCACTTGGGAGGCTGAGGCAGGATGATCGCCACAAGCTCTAGGCTAGCCTGGGCTACATAGTTCAATGCCAGCCTAAATTATATAGTGAGACCCTGTCTCAAAAGAAAATTTTGTAATTGAAAGTATATTTAGTACCTTACATATAGTATCTTACATAATGCCCTGATCCTTTTGGTCAAAGCACTAAGGGTAACTCTCTCTGAAATAATGATTTCTCATACTTACAGCGGTCTACTTTATTCTGAAGATATGCATTATTTTGTTTTCCACCTTATGAAACAAAGCTCAAATCAATTTTTAAAAACTTTATAACTTACATGTCCCCCATGGAAGGTCGTTCTAAAAAAACGATCCTCACTGTACTCATTAAACCCAAATCAGTGATCACCTCTGTGTTCCTGCTGGTCTTTCCCTTTCATTGGTGTGTACCCTGCCGACGGCCACCTGACTCGCTTACCTTCGGCAGACATCAGTTTCCTGTCGGTGTTACCTGAGTTCAGGCTCCCACCTTTCAAACTTCACTGGGTCTGGAATCTGCCTGTGGAAGGAAAGGACTGTTGAGAGAGGCCGGCATCCACACGGCAGCCGGTTCAAAGCCAGAGCGGCACAGGGGTGGGAAACGGTCTGCCTGTGACGGCGTGGAGTTCAGATAGTCCCATTGTCTCTGGCCGGACGCTATTTTAACTTGATTATGTAATACGACACCTTAAGTACTGGGATTTTTATTATATTTCTTAATATCTTTAACAAATCTAAGGTTAAAGGTTGAGTTACAAAGCTGAAAGTTTATGAAGGAATATTTATTTATGTAACATGTGCTTAAAAAACAGGATTTTTTAAAATTATTTTTATTAGCACATGGTTGTGGTACATAATGTTTACATTCCTTGTGAGATTTCACAGACCTATCAGCTGATCATTGTAAAGTAATCTAACTTGACTCAAATTAGAAATTAGAAAATAACTAGAGAAATCTATACAGACTAGAGTTAATAAATATTAAGTATTTGTTAAGTCTTAAAAATTTTTAGATGTAATAAATGGTATCTTAATGATTTATTTAAAAGATACCTTTTTTACTTTTGTTGGCACTGAGGATTGAATCCAGGTCCTCTGCACTGAGTTATATCCACAGATCTTTTTATTTATTAAAACAGAGTCTTGTTATGTCACTAAATTGCCCAGGCTGGGTTTGAATTTGTGATATTTTTGTCTCTGCCTCAGAGTTTACTGGGATTATAGGCATGTGCCACAATGCCCATTTTAAAAGATGCCTGTGAGCTTTAAATATTTACATTAAGCCAGGGATTTAGCTCAGTGGTTCCGCCACCTGCCTTGCAAGTGCAAGGTCCTGAGTTCGATCCCTGGTACCAAAAAAAAAAAAA